GGGGCAGGGGGGTATCGGGCAGTGGCCAGCACGGGGATCGCTCATGGACGATCGCCTGCTCCGAGGACGGCACCAACCGCGGGGCCACTCGCCATTTCCCCAGCTGCACGCTCTCTCGCTCAATCCCAACCTCGAGGCAGACACGTGGCATAAAGGTCACGGGATCGCGACACGGCGCTCCGATCCCTTCGCCCGCACTCACGTTCCGCGAGCCCATGGCCAGGAGGACCCACAACGATGCCTGTACTATTCCCTCCAACCGATTGCAAAGTTTTTCGAGGGGAAGGCACTCACGTCCACCCATCCTACGTTCGCAATGACTTCGACCATCTTGCTCGGAGCGCCCTGGACCTCCGAGTCTCTTGCGTCCAGCGGGACAGGAAGCAGGCGCCGGACACCGCGCGAGCGGTCCCATAGGAAATCGGAAGCAGGCTGGGCCAAAACGTGAAGAATGTACAAGCGCGAGCGATTTTATTTATATGTACCCCGAACCCCGAGCCGCGTAATTACATCATTTTGACAGACTTTTCCTCTGCCACCAAGGGTGCACAGTGGCTGCATTCGTGCGCAAACACGCCTCGGGGTTGATCGCATCGAGACGTCGTGCTCCCAATCAGGCAAGGCACTTACCTGATCCATTGGATGTCGGTCGACGACATGACATGGCGCCTCCCGCACTACGCCCGCGTAAGAGCACCCGTCGAATCGCAGGAGCTGTAGGTGGGCACGCCGGACACGGCCCAGCATGATTTCGGCCGCATACTAGACCATTCCGCGGGACGTTCGCGCTGTGCGGAGGCCCGTTTCTTCACTAAATCAAGCTCTTGAGGCAGGTGTCGGGCGGCGACGGTCCGAAACCGTAGCTTCATTCTAAGCAACGCCTGCCAGCCTCGACTACGCCTCTCGCTATTCGACGTCAGCGTCAGTAGAGTAGGCATACATTAATAGGCAAGTGCCAAGTCGTCAGTAACTCGGGAGGCGAGTGGACTGGACATGTCGAAAGGAAAGGACTCGCCTTATAGACGTATCTTGAGGCTCGTAAAAGCGATGGCGGACTTCAAAGTCTACTGTTTGCTAAAGCCGGATCATAAAGCGGCTGCGAGCCCCAGGCGTTCATGATACGTGACAGCCCGATAAGCCACAAGTCTCCTGTCCGCTCAGTCACGATATGCATGGCGGTGGAGTTACGGTGCCCGCGGGGGACGCACAGCATCTCTTATGCGGGCATAATCACCTGCCCTGAGCGCCCGCAGTGAAGGAAGCGAAGAACGGTGTGCGGAGGATTGCCAAAGCGCGCTGGTTTGTGAGAACATTACTACGACTGCGATGAATGACATGGCCAATCCTCGGAAGCGCACGGTCGATGTCAACGCCCTGTACGCAGCTGATCTTGGAACCTACTGATAACGTCATATTACGCCGTTACTTGACCAGACACGATATGACGAGTTTGGCTACCCGGGCCATTCAAGAACCTACACGCATTGGGGCCGTCTGGTAGACTTGCGTTGATCTCCTTGAAGCCATCACGCGTCATTCGGTGGTTCTGAAACTGCGCCATCACTGGGGACGGTATTCCAAACCGGAGCACGCGCACCTACGCAATGGTCTAGCGCACCCGTCCGTGCGCCCGCCGAGCAGCGAGCGAGAGCGGACTGCTGCGGAGATACGCCAGAAGACTGCGAAGGGCGTTGTGGCGGAGGACGACGGAAAGACGCGCTTCGGGGCCGGTGCTGGGAACGCTTCCGCAAAAGGCAGGTAGAGAGACAAGCGAGGTTCCATTTGTGTTAGGCGCCCGTGTGTGTGATCGCCAGCATGATTTCGCCATGGCTTCCTTCTCGCCCGCGAACACAGGCCCATACGAGTCCACCACAGCTCGCTGGTGCTGCATATGTCCGTCTTTGGCCACCCGCTCGCCCCAGAGACCCAGAGTCTCCCGTGCGAGCGTGGCCTCGGAGCTCGATGCGCACGCAGCGGGTCCCTGAGATGGGAGAGTGGGGAAGGTCTGTTCGGAACGGGAAGCCCTCGCGAGGGACGTCTGCGGAGAAGACGAAGGGTGTTGTGCCCTGGGAGTGATAAGGGCGCGGGCAGGAGGCGAGGGACCCGCTCGCCCTCCGGTGACGTCTCCCTCCCAACCGCCCTCCCCGCAAGCCTCGCCCAGCGGCCGACCCCTCTCAGGCCCCAGCTGCGCCTCTGTCAATTATTCTTTCACCCGTCACAGCGCCGCTCGTCGACTAGCCTCGTTCTGGCACTCTTTCCGTCGCCCGGGCCTCCCCATACGTCACTCTGCCCTCGCGGAAAACACATATAACCCCCCTCTGGCACCATGGGCTGCATTCCATCCAAACCCGCCCACAGACCCTCCCCCGCTGCACCACCCGCGATGACCCTCCACAAGCTCGTGCGTCCCGAGATCTACAAGGGCGGAAAGCGTCCGTCCTTCGCCGCCGCGTACGCCCGCGCCGCACGCCGTTACGGCTTCGACACCGGCCGCAACGCCGGCTTCGCGAAGCGCAACAACGTCGTCGTCAAGGTCAAGGGAAAGCACGACAAGGACACCGACCACGAGGTCCCCGCCGAGTCCATCCAGAACGGTAGGCCCTGGCTGTCGTATATGCTTCCGTCCCACCGAGCGCTCACTATGATGCGCCCGAACCCGTGTTCTCTCTAGAGTAAGTGTCCTTGTGGTGGTCCGCAGATTACGATGGCGTCGGGTGGACATGCGCTCACATACCGCTTAGTCTCGAATACGTTGTTCCGGTCAAGATAGGTACCCCCGGCGTATCGCTCAACCTCGACTTCGATACTGGCTCCTCTGACCTCTGGGTTTGGAGGTATGCCATCTAACATATTCCCGATGCAGGTAAGCCGCTGACGCGCGAACGACTAATTCAGCTCCGAACTCGCGCGTGCGTCCCGGTACAAGGGTCACACCATCTACGACCCATCCAAGTCCTCCACCGCCAAGAAGACCTCTGGCAGCTGGAACATTAGCTACGGCGACGGCTCGTCTGCCTCGGGCAATGTCTACACAGACAACGTTACGGTTGCCGATATTACGATTCCGGGCCAGGCTGTCGAGCTCGCTGAGAAGCTCAGCCCCAGCTTCCTCCAGGACGGAGGTAACGACGGTCTTCTCGGGTTGGCTTGGCCTCAGATCAACACCGTCCAACCCAAGGCGGTGGCTACCCCGGTCGAGAACCTGATAAGTAAGAAGTTGATTGACCCCGTAAGTGCGCTTAGATACCAGCCCCAGAGATATTCACGCACACAGGCTGACCACACCCCTTGCAGCCTGTGTTTACGGTCAAGCTCGGTCGCGGCGAAGAGGCCGGATTCTACTCCTTCGGTAATTGCATCCAGTGTGTTCAGCATACCCCCCATGACGCCATAACTATCATGCAGGCTTCATTGACACTTCCGTGACGCCCAACCCGATCACGTACACCCCCGTAGACAAGTGCGCTTGATCGTGCCCCTCGACATTCCGGCGGTCCTTCTGACGTCACGCTCGCGCACAGCTCTCAGGGATTCTGGCAGGTGGAATCGGCCAGCTGGTCGTTGAATGGCGATACGAAGGAGCGCTCCGGCAACACCACCATCCTCGACACCGGAACCACCCTCCTCCTCGTGTCGGACGAGGTCGTCGACGCTTTCTATGGTCCGTCATACATCGGACGGTCTCCGCGACATATTAACACTAACAGCCTCTACCAGGCGCCATCGACGGCGCCGTCTTTGACGACCAACAGGGCGGATACAAATTCCCCACGAACGCCACCATCCCCGACATCTCCTTCGCTGTCGGAAACACGCTCTACAAGGTCAGTCCTGCAAGCTCCCCTGAACCCCCACACTCTAAATCGTACACGCAGGTTAACCCCAAGGACATCGCGTTCGGCGACGCGGGCGACGGCTTCACCTTCGGCGGCATCCAGAGCCGCGGCGACATGGACTTCGACATCTTCGGCGACGTCTTCCTCAAGTCGGTCTACGCCGTCTGTGAGTCTTGCACCCGGTTTCCATATCTGTCCGTCGTCTCGGCCGCTGATTTGGGCACCTCGCATGCGTTCAGTCAACCAGGGCGAGAAGACCGTCGGCCTCGCGCAGCGCGATGATTGAACTGATACGACATATCGACTTGTACGATTGATTGGAGTGACGTGTTTTACGCTTTGAAGGGACTGTACCACGGCTATCGGACGGATTGGATGTAACACACACCGTGACGAGTATTAAAACGAATGTAATGCGTGTCTATACACACGCAGATAGCTCACGCGGTTTTCGCAACAACGCCCGGGCAACGGGGGTGGACAAGATTGTTTTTGAGAAATAGCTCGGATCCCGGTGTAGTTGGAAACAGTTTTCAGATTAGCTTATAATCCAGGAACGTGCGATGTTGGCACGGCAAACATGGCCAGATTTCGGGACCCCCAGAACACTCTACGAATCTGAACCGAATTAATAGTGTTAAGAAGCTTATCGGACCCCAAAACGCTGTAAAGAAAGCAAGAATATCGGCCACTTTGAAAGTTATGAATGCCGTTTGTCACGTAATGTAAACAAGACTTGCTCGATACTTTTAAGTTCATGTGCATTTCTTGAATGACCATGTTCAAACAGCTCGTCCTACCAACATGGTCATGAAATTTACAAGATCTTTCTTGTTTCAGTGGGCGCCTAACGGGCGCTTGTGAAACGACATTGAAATTCATAATAGTGGGAGTATATCGCGTGTCGCAGACGAAACAAACTCCTTTGCTACAGAAATCATCGGAGGATTCAAAATTTCTTGTGAGTTCCTACGTCCTTTCGGGGCAAAGAGCCTGTGTGTATTCCTTGTGATCCGAAATTACTCGGAAAAATATACTTTCGCGACCTCGGGCAGGCTGACCAAATCCGCAAGGACACTATTAATTCGGTTCAAATTCGTGGAGTGTTCCGGGGGTCCCAAAATCTGGCCATGTTTGCCGTGTGGGAGCTGGAAAAAAAAACTTCTCCCTGGCGGGGAGTCGAACCCCGCTTTCGCGCGGTCTTTGCTCTGGAGAGAGCATGACAGGCGCGTGTACTAACCGATATACTACCAGGGATTGACGTGGGAACCTGTGTTGTAATAATAATGGTTTAGCGTCAAAACGGTTCTCTTTGAATGGCTCCGGGACTCGGAGTCGAGTCCGAGCCTGACTCGTCTCCGAATTCGTCTCCGAACTGGACTCCTCCAACCCGTCCCTACAGTACGGCACAAACAGGGGCTGGCTTTACGCCATAGTCGCGCGAAAAAAAAAATCCCGTCATTCAAGTGACAATCCTTGTCCAACTTTCCGGGTTTTGGGACCCAGAGTTTACGGGTTTGAGCTCGTTTTCGGAGGACAAACCTCTTGGCCAAAGTGGACAAACTGTACAGTGTAGCGAAGATTATAGAGGCGCAGGTCCTAGGGGGCGCAGAGGTTCCCGTGGGGACATTGGAGCTTAAATCGCCCTCGGAGGCTTTCGCTCTACGATGAAAAAAGTACAGGTAAAAATGAGAGAAGATCATAGCGAAGCTCAATGTAGCATTGTTCTGCTTTGATATGCCTTTTTGCGTCCTGGAATTACACTGGGCACTCGAAGCGCTGTTGTCCCCCAAAGGTGTGAAGACGGCCGCGGGTTCAAGACCTTAGCTCGACGCCGGACATTTTGTCCCTCATTAGGACTCCGACGTCCCCATTCCCACGGGGACACCTCGTACATCATTCAAGCCGATTTCATGTACGTCGTGAACCATGATCCTAGCGACAATAATCGAATTCTACTTGGCGCTCCGTAAATGCATCGAGGGGAGGAAATTCTACGGCCGCATCGTCGAACTCCCATTCGGTCTCGTGCTGAAGATATCCTCACTTGAGGGCGCGTCCGAAGGGGACATTATCCGGTTCGTCCAACGCCACACTACCATCCCTACACCGCAGGTTGTCGCGTCTGTCGAAGGCCATGAGCGGCGGTTCCTTGTCATGAAGAAAGTTCAATGCCTGGAACGAGTCTGGGGCCAGCTCGACGACACCCAACGGCGTTCGATCGTGAAACAGCTGCATTCCTTCCTAGCGCTGCTCCGAGCGCTGCCGCCTCCCCACGGCCGCGCCGTCTGCGCCCTCAACGCCGCCCGGCTGACAGACAGCCGCATCACCTCGGGGGGCGCGGTCGGCCCCTTCCTCGACGAACACGACTTCAACGACCGCGTGGTCCAGACGTCGCGCCTGTTCTTGCCCGCGCCGGACATCGTGCAGCATCGCGCGCGTATGCGCGGCGACCATGCCATCGTATTCACGCACGGGGACGTCGCGCCGCGGAACGTCGTGGTCGACGGGGGCTCGGATAGGGTCATGGCGCTGCTGGATTGGCAGCAGGCTGGGTGGTACCCCGAGCATTGGGAGTGGGTCAAGGCGATATGGTGTCCGCCGAGCCCCAAGGCCGCTGGCGACCTGTGGGTGGAGGCCGTGCCGGACATGTTTGCCGAGGATTACGCGGACGAATGGGAGGTTGAACGCGGCTTGTCGGATAATATTGTGGGCGGATTTTGAGGGAGCATGAGCGTTTCTGTTCGGCCTCAAAAAAGCCACAGCGGCGTTGACAACTACTTGAGTCTTAGATTTGGCTTTGGGATTCCAGGACGCGTGTCGAGTTAGTCCTCATACTGAGGAACGTCCCCGGAAGGGTATGTGCGCCATGAGGATGCTGACAATTTCACGTCCCGTGCAATAAGGTCCCAGTTTTTCGAACAGGGGCATGTGGTTTCTACGCTGCCATCAGGGGGGGTGTGAGGGGACGCTATCCTATGCTCTCCTCGCCTGAGGCCTGCGCTAGTATAACCGGTATGCAACTTGAACATGCGAATAGAAGCAATAAAGACATAAACATAAACATCGGATGTGGCGAGTATTACATGACGTTATAGTGAAAAATACAAAAAAAGAATGAAGCAGATTCGTGGAGTACAGAGGGAAATATGAGCCAACTTGAACCGAGACGAAAAGTCGGGAGCCTGAGCGACGACTCGGACGGGGTACGCGGAGTCGGTTAGCGCCCATTTGTGCGGTAATGCCGGGGGGGTCCTGCGGCGATGCAGTACCTGTACTTAGTAACACCAGATCCAGAACAGTTCTTTTTGAGTGGTTCCCAACGTCTCAACATCATCGAACTCCTCCCTTGCGACACCTGGCATGCCCGCACGCGAATCATGTTCCTCACGGTAATAATCGAGGCCTACCTCGCGCTTCGTAAACGTATCGCAGGGAGGAAATTCTACGGCCGCATCGTGGAACTCCCGTTCGGACTTGTGCTGAAGATATCCCCATCCGAAGGCGCGTCCGAAGGGGATATCATTCGGTTCGTCCAACGCCACACCACCATCCCTACACCCCAAGTTATCGCGTCTACCGAAGGCCGTGGGACACGATACTTGATTATGAAGCGAACACCTGGCACGATGCTAGAACGAACCTGGGGCACGCTCAGCGCCAACGACCGCTCAAACGTCGTCGCGCAGCTACGCTCATTCCTCTCGCAGCTCCGTGCGCTGCCAACGCCGCATGGCCGCGCCATCTGCGGCCTGCACGGCGCGTCGCTCAGGGACGGCCGCTTCGCATCGAGCGACACCGTCGGCCCGTTTCCCGACGAGGATGCGTTCAACGCGCGCCTGGTGCAGACGTCGGCGCGGTTCGTGCCCGAGTCTGCGCTTGCGGGGGTGCGTCCCCGGATGCGCGTCGACCATGCAGTCGTCTTCACGCATGGAGGCGTTGCGCCGTGCAACATCATCGTGGACGGTGACAACAAGGTCGTCGCGCTGCTGGACTGGGAGACGGCGGGATGGTATCCCGAGCATTGGGAGTGGGTCAAGGCGATGTGGTGTCCTCCGGAACCTAGATCCGCGGGAGAGATGTGGAGAGAGGCTGTCCCGCATATGTTCGACCAGGACTATACGGTCGACTGGAAAGTCGATTGCGAATTATCGGACCGTATTGCGGGGGCATACTAAAGACTTGGGTTAATCAGTATTACGGCGTTTTGTCCGTGCGCCGCACCTTCCATACCAACGCCGCACGATGTCATACCACAAATTCTTGTCAAGCTGACGAGAGTGACGGTGACTTAATTCATCGACGTGCTTCTCACATTGTCTTCAGGAGGTTATTCGCGTATACCACAAGTATCGTGTGACCTGCTGAAAGCAGCCTGAGCTGACGCAAGGTCCTTATACAATTACAATGCGAAGAAATACTAGGGTGGCTACTGATACAAATCAAGAGGCAGCAAAAGGGAAGGGCTTGAATGCGGCTGCCTTCGAGATTAAATCTTGCTGTGCTCCACGTGCAGTGCGCTCTCCTTGTCGCTTGCATTCTCCGGGATCGGTGCTCTGTTCTCTTGTACTTCCTCTTCGATTCGTTTCTGCTGTTCCTCGCGAAGCTTCTCGCCCTCGAACACTAGACGCAGGAATGAGCCATAGAACTTCGCGCCCCACCATAAGATGATCAGATGAAAATAGTACTCACGGAAGGCAAGCTCCTCGAGCGAGCGATTCGAGGTCTCCGGGAAGAGGAACCACACAAAGACGATTTCGAACAGGAGGAAGATGCAGTACGAGATGTAGTACTTCCAGCCCGCGTTCGCGATGCCGATCGGATTGACGAATTGGTTGAAGAAGCCTGCTGCTCGGCCCCACCACTGGAAGACCGCGATACCCTTTGCACGCGCGTGGTAAGGGAAGATCTCGACGAGGTAGGCTAACGAAAACAGGGTGAGTTGTTGGCGCACTCTGAAAGCCAGAAAACGCATACTGTAAGTTAGGGCATTGTAGCCCATGTTGTATGCGGGGCTGTAGAGGAAAATGAAGCTGAAAACCGGGAGACAACGTCAATTTCGTGATGGTGATATATCGAGGGGTGGTTGTACGCACGCAATAACAGCGCGCGAAGCTGCTTGGCTCCCCGTCATCGCATACTGCGCGCTCGCGACCGTCCATCCGGTGAAGATGAATGTAAGGGCGACGGTGCACGTGAGGTACGCGGAGCGGCGGCGCATCTTCGGGACCGTAAGCGCGAGCGTTGTGCCGTTGACGAAGCCCCAGCACGTCATCGCGAGGTTGATGAGGTTCTTCGTGCGGTCATCATGTATGCCGACGTTGTCGAGGATGCGTGCGAGGAAGTATGAGGTGAGACCGTTCCCAGACCACTGCGTCGCGAGCCCAAGGAATGAGCATATGAGCAGCCGCTTGCGCATGCCGGGTGCGGATACAAGCTGCTTCCAGCTGCCCTTGGATTGCTCCTTCTCAAGCTCGAGTGTCGTCTCGATTTCGGCATATTCGAGCTTTACGAATTCCGAGTTTAGATCACCTTCGGCATGGTATTTGGTAAGGATGGCATATGCCTCTTCGCCGCGACCCTTCGAAACGAGCCACCTGTGGTCTACGTAAGAAGACTGGTTGAATGCTACCACGGCATGAAAAGCGTACCTAGGGGATTCGGGAAGGAACCAGATGAATGTGATTTGTAGCGCGCTCGGTATGACCTGGAGGAGAGATGGGATGCGCCAACCCCAATTGCTCGGCATCTGGAAGGTGCCCAGGGTGACACCTGCAGCAACAATGGCACCTGCGTATGCGACATCGTATGAGCATGTTTCATGACGTGAATATGAGTAACACTTACCGATGAACCACGACGCGTTGAAGAGAGACCCGATACGAGCGCGTTCCTTCGGATAGGCTAGTTCACCGATCATGGACGACGCCGCAACGATGGCGAAAGGAATGCCAAATCCAAGTAGGAATCGCGCAACTACAAACATTGCGACTGTAGAAGAAGAATTAAGCGTGTGTACTTCGATAATTCTTGGAAATGCGCATACAATCTTGTGACGATGTCTGCAGGGCGGCTCCGATAACCATGATAATACTGCCAAAAATGATGGCCCATCTTCGTCCGAAGCGATCCGTTACGAAGGGCACAAAGGGGAGGGAACATATCGAACCCAGAGAATACAGCGCTGAGAGGAGGCCAAGGATTGTGGATCGTGGATGGTTGAAGACTGTTTACCTCATCAATACCGTTGTACTACG